GCTGCCTGGGGGTCACCATCTCTCTCCAAATGCAACGGACCAGGTCCAAACCCACAGCCCACACGGCAAGGACACCAACACCTGAAAAGCCAGAAATAAAAAGCAAGTCTTAAGATACAAATGGTGAGCCCCACTTACTTGCCCCACTTCCCCTCTGGGTAGTCTGTTAAAATTACTGCACCATTCTCCATCAGCACCTGTGGTGTGACTCCCGGGCGTGTCCTGTGAAGGACTAAGAGCTGGACTCCATGATTCTTGTGGTGGTCCCTTTCAACTCATGATATTCTACGATTCTATAGAATATGTTTTAAATCACCTCCTTCCATGAGGTTTTCCAGAGCCTTTGGCAGCAATTACTTTTCCAGTTTGAGACAGCCTCACCTGCAGCACAGGTTGCACAAATAAAAGCTCCCGCTGAGCACAGGAACTGCACTGTGGGCTTGGGTTGTGCTTTGCTCATCGTCTCGCAGGGCATCGGTGACAGGAATTGCTGCTGACAGCGGGTGTAAGAGACGGACTCCTGCTGCCGCAGGAGCCTGGCCGGGGGGAGCGGCAGCGGCGTCTGTCAGAGCCCAGGAATAAAAATGGGTTTCAGATGGGTCGCTGCGGAGCGGCTCCCACAGCGCCTCGTACAGACAAAGCAGCGAGAGGCTCGGCCAGACCCGCCGCCCTGCCGAGCATCGCTCCCGTCCCGGCACGGGGCTCTGCAGCATCCCTCCCATCCCGGCATGGGGCTCTGCAGCATCCCCCCCATCCCAGCACGGGGCCCTCCGGCATCCCTCCCATCCCAGCGCGGGGCTCTCCTGCGTCGCTCCCGCCTGGGAATGCGGTTCTCCCGCATCGCTCCCATCCCAGCACGGGGCTCTCCAACATCGCTCCCGGCATGTCATGGCATTCTCCCACAGCTCCCAAGCCAAATGCTACCCGTGTTCCAGGTCCTGCAAGGACAAACCTCAGCCTGCACAGCCCGAGCTAGATCCCCGATCAGATTGAATCAAGGATAGAGGAGAAGAGCTGCATTATGCCAGCTCCAGACCCAGCGCTGCCCACCCTCCCCATCCCTTCCCCAAACAGCCAGGTACCAATGGCTTTATTAAATTCTGCTTTATTTTTCCCTGCTGCCCTTGCCTAGAGGGCTTACAAGCAAGACCAACGTGGGCAAGCCCTTAAATTCAAGCAACACGACTTGCTTATATGCCATCACACCCCACACCCTCCCTGGCACCGTTCTGCACCACAGCCCTGCAGTGCCCTGCCAAGTCACCGGCTTTCCCCCGCGGCTGCTGCAAAGGTCCAGCTTGTGTAAGAAGGAACAAACTGGCTTTTCTTCACCACCCTTTCAATGCTGCCATTCATCCCCTGCCCTCCATCCTCCCAGTGCCACCTTGAAGGATGCAAAACACACAGCCAAAGCACTTCATTTCATGTTATCCCAGGGCAAATGTTGTCCATGGGTGATGGGTCTACAATTTTGTCCCCATTAAGCACAAGTGAATTAAGGGGTTAAGGCAAAAAATACGGAGATGCAAAGGTACCCATGTGTTAAGGACACTCCTACCCTGGCAAAGTCATGTCACTGCTCAAAAAGCAAAGAGTTCTGAGACTTGACAGCCCCTTCCTGGAGGATGCAGGGGCTGCAAAGCCAGGTCACATGAATCCCACTGTACCAGTGAATCCGGCATCTGACAGCGAGGGACGGAATCTGTTCAATGGTTGTGTAAAGACTTTGGCTCCGATGCTGAGCAAGCACTAAAGCTGGTTTTAGTTCTACCCAGCTGGAAACATCTTGGTCAAACCCCAGGTTATTTTTGCATCTGCACATCAGTTCTGCCTGGTTAGAGACTCCGTGCTGACTTTGGCCAAGTGGTCAACCCCAGGGAAAAGCAAGCCAGGAGGGGAACAGGACACAGCTTTGCAGGCTGAGCATGAAATGACAAAGCCAGGTTTATTCAGACACAAATAGGCGGCTTCAAAGCATTTTTCCACCCCTCATAAAATCAATACTAGTATCATAACCATCTACACTCCAGGATTTTTAGCCCTCTTCTGACTTCAGGCCAGCACGGATGCATTCTGCCTGCCATTATTTGTCAAATACCAAATTCCAACTCCTTTAGGAAACCGGGGGGAAGGAAGCATGGCTGGTTGAACTCTTTGTCCTTCTCCCCCCCCACATACACACTTTCACATCATGAGAACAGAGCAAGAAACCCACAAAAAATGCACATTCCCAAAGCCAGAGGCTACATCCCAGTTCTGGCAACCCAGTGGTCTCACCACAAAGCTCAGCGCAGCCTGGATCCCCTTTGACTTCTTAACAATACATTCACAGTGGTGGCAGGGTGGGGAAGGAGGGCTTCAAAAGGAAGGAGCAGCAAGGAACAAGCTATTTTGAATCCAGAAGCCAACCACTGCAAGATGCACACTCCCCATCTGAGCTTTACTGCTCCTCCCGGGCAAGTGCTTTGAAGCGTGGCAATGGAAAACGAGGAAAGAGCCAACAGCACCCGTCACACTGGATGGATACGAGTCTGCAAACACTAAAATGTCTAAGATGTCAATAAAGGCTGGGCTTGGTGGGGTGAAAGAGGGAAAGCAGAGAAGACAGAGCCCTCAGCAGCCTTATGCCATCCGTACATTCTCCTGACTGCAGCTTCCAGGGAGGCTGATGAAGCCATTGGGATGCAGGCAGCCTGCAGGCAGCCTCACACATTTGGACTTCAGCATGATGCAGGGTGGTATTAGCGCATAAATCTGGAATTTACCCACTTTATCCAGCTTTGGATGGGGAGAGAGAAGGCAGCGTTCAAAGGTGTCCACAGTTTCCTCTCTCCAGTGTCAGCAAGGGAAAGGAGGTTTTTTACTTCTACTGCTGTTAAATCACAAAGCAGCCACATGGAGATGATAGACTCCCACATCACATGCACCAGCTGCTGGGCAGGATTTGCAGCCATTTTGCACCTTTTCTGCCAAATGCACAACCAGGACCTTGCTGCCAAAAATGATGGTAACACTCTGCAGCCCATTCCTCCCCTGCCCTGGATGACCGACAGCCAGGCCTTGAAAAGATGCTCCTGGGCTCTTGCCTGGGATAAGCCATGGCCGTGAATCACGGGACAACTGTGGCTGAGGAGGCAGCAGCTGGTTTGCAGTGTCACCAGGGTACAGCAGCCAAGCCCTGGTTGGAGGGGCAGGAAGAGACAGGACCAGATGAAGAGGTGCAGGGGAAGCAGCTGGGAGGAAGTTTGCACGGCATCTGCGCCACGGTCCCAGCCACCCACGTCTGCTCATACTAAACACCAATTACATGGAAATTAAAAGAGGAAAAAATAAACACTCTGAAAAGACAAGAGATGAAAACATCCACGCTTTATCTTTGAAGAGTGAGATGAACCCACCCTGAAGAAATGTAAATGTAGCAGGAGTCAAGATACTCCTGGTATTACTCATTACAGGAGACGAGATTCTCTACATCTTTCTGTTTTGCAGCAATTAGCTGGTAACTGGGGAAAAAATTGAATAGATCAACACTTTTCTATTATTAGTTTTAAATAATGACTCAGAAACAGGCACTTCCTTTTTTCCCAAGCTGTGAGGAGCTAGGCACCAAGACCCTGATAATGGCTTCAGGCTCATTTAAACTGCAAATGTCTCTGCAGAAATTACAGGAGAGCAGTGTGAATACAATGAGAAACAAACCCTTTGTTTCAAGTGGAACTACCAGCAATTACCTTTCATTTACAGGTTAAAAAGCTTGATGCAGCATATTTGTTAGGAAGAGCATGCAGTGCCAAAAAGATGTACGTGTACAGAAAATGAGGAAGCAAGGAGAGACAGGAAAAGTCATGCCCGCTGATGGCCTTGGAGAGAAACTGAGTAAAAGGCCAATATAAAAAAGTCTGCCCAAAACACAGGGCTGCCTCCCAAGGCCTGACCGTGGACCTTAATCACCAATACCATCCACAGTGCAGGGAAATAATTAAGCATTTCAGCTCTGAAAGAGTTGCCTGCCTAATGTGCTAAGCAGATAGTTTTTGCAGAGCAATTCAGAAAGAAAAAGAGAAGCAGATTCAGCTGATGAGACACAAAAAGTCTCTCTAAAGGCATTAATTTCCTTTGGGAAGCAGCCCACATGCTCCTGGCACAGTGGGAACCATCACTCCTGCAGCAGGTCCCAGCAAGGCAGATGATCAAATCTGCACCAGTCACTTGGAATCAGCAGAAAGGCGATGGATGAGGACGCAGTGTCACGAGCGGGAGCTGGCACGCTGAAAACAAACGAACTTGGAGTTCACCTTGACATCTGCTTATTGAAAGAAACCTTTTGGATCTTCTTCCAGGAATAAGCATCTGCATCCCTGCCACGTTCCCTTAAAGCATGCACAGGAATGAGGACACAGCAGAGCTCTCGAGGGACCAGCAGTGCACACAGCAGTGACCAGGACAGCTGGGCCATCCAAGAGCACACTCTGCCCCTCCTGGCTGGTCACAACCCCCAAAAACATCAGGCACCATCCGGCAACAGGACATGTCAAGGGAGATGCTCCACACTAGCAAGGTATACAAGGGCTGAACCTCAGCTTTTTGGACAGTAGAGTCCCACACTGCTTTCCCAAAAGGTGAGGCAGTGCAGAGGTGCTGTGTTGGCCACCTGCACGTCCTGAAGCACCTCACGGGCTTGGTGTCACTGCTCCCAACGCCATTTCCTTCCCGTGACCCTGGCATCAGGCTCACCAGCTGTGAGCAGCACACGTCACCGGAGCCCTGGCGCTCTTCCAGGACTGTTTGGCAGAGTCAGGCACTGACCCATCCCATCTGCCTTGAGCCAGCTCGGAGCCGACCACCAGCAGACCTGGCTGGTGAAGGCACCACTGACATCCCAGCTTCCAGAGAGATCTGAGTGCTCTGCAGACCTCAGATCTCCAAAACAGCAGCCCTGAGACAACACACAGAGGCAGGTGCATAATTTCTTGGGGTTTTCTTTTACTTTTTTTTTTTTATTCCCTCCCTTCCTTTGCCACAACACACGCTTTGTATTAAATATCTTAAATATATTAATTTTTAAAAAGTATTAATAAAAAGCTACTGAAGGACACAGTTGGCAGAATGACCAAGGGCAGCGACCCATTGCAAAATATGGGGACATTTTAAAAAACAGAAAACCAATGATAACCAAAAAAATGGCATTTTTTGCATATGCACAGCTGGCTGGAATACCCTGGATTCTGACATTATTGCAAAAATGGAAGGGGAAGCAGTAGAAAAAATATATTCCATTGTACCAACCTGTATGGGGAAGGGAGTTAAGAGCAAAAATGAGGAGGCTTTAAACATTTTTGGTATTTCAGATGTTCCCTCCCACACCCATTGCCCAATCACTTTTAGTCTTTAAGCAAGTTTTCTGGCTTGGGGTAGCCAAAGAGTACAAAATCTGCTTCGTAAAGCTTGTAGAGCTGCTGCCTCCAAGCCAGTGGGATTTTGGCAAACCAGTTATCTTCCCAGCTGCTCGCAGTCCTGTTCCTGTAGCTGGGTGGGAAGCGAAGTAGCCTGTCCACTTTGAGGAGCTGCAATAAATAAGCAGCATCCTCATCCAGCGTCTCCAGCTTTCCGATGAAATCATAGTCTATCTGGCACGGGTGGCACAGGCGGTAAATCTGCCTCCAGTGCTCATTGAAGGGGGTCATCTTCTCTGTCCTGGGATCCAGTAAGTACTGGATGAAGTCAGAAAAGGAGACTTTGAGGCCTGCCCCGAAGGCCTCGCTAACAGAGGTGGGGAGGTTGGTGTGGTTGGAGTAGAGCTTTAACATGGGGATGGCGAAACGCCGGTAGAACTCCTCGTTCTCCAGCTCAAATTTGCTGCGGAAGGCGGAGATGAGGCGGACAAAAGGGTCCCGCACAAAGAGGAACTTGGTGTACTTCTTCAGCTTGATCTTCATGAGGTGCCGGGAGAACTTCCCGTAGCGGCGCCAGAATTTGTTGAACGTCAGGTGGGTGCTGGTGTTGTGGACGTGTTCCCGGGGGATGTCCAGAGGGTTCCGGTACGGGACGCCCTGGTCCAGGAGGCTCTCACTGAGCACAATCATCACTCGTTTCCAGTTGGTGCAGGCCACCTTGGGCACGTAGCAGTAGATGACGCCGTGGCGGTCATCCACGATCAGGTGGTTGAGCTCGTAGTTTGGGATGTCATCGAAGGAGCGCTCCTTGGTGGGAAAGGTGAAGCTGGAATTGGCACAAAACTCCCGCAGCGTTCTCTGCCTCTCCACCTGCAGCTTCTCTTGGTCCAGGCTGTTCCTGTCCTTGTGCGTAGACCAGTCATAGCCCCGCACCTTCTCCTCCAAATTACTCACCACAGGCTTGTTGGAGCCCTGGACAAGGAGCTGCTCTGTCTTTCGGGGGGTAGAGTTGTTCTGTCTCAGGCTTGAACTAAGCAGCTTTGCCAAAAATTCATCTACATCTGGCAAGGCTTCCCAGTCTTCACCTGCCGCGATACCAGGGATGGCTCCTGGGGAACGAGGCCTGGAGAAGGACGTGTGCAGGTAGAAGTGAGCCGTCCCCACGTTGTCCCAGTACACAATGATCAGGAGGATCATGAAGATGGAGACCAGCACCACAGAGAGACGGAGGAGCCGTGCTTTGGTCATCCTGACACCTACTGTGGTAGCTGACTTTCACCTGGATTCACCTCCGACTTGCAGAGTGAGGCTTGGGATCCAGCATGGTGCTGCAGAGCAGGATCCTGGAAAGGTATGAGAAAAAAAAAAATCAGTTGAGCCATTAATCCCCCTGATTTGGAGAGAATGACCTGGCACAATCAAGACTTGCTGTGGGGCCAGCCATCCCCATTTTCACACAGGGAGAACTCTGAGAGTACCCAGAGAGACCCTGTGGAGAAGAGCTGACTGGCCAAAAGGAGGCACAATGTGTTGCAATTTTATCAGTTTCACAGCAATCATGGCTTTTTATCAATCTCAAGCTTCTGGAGTCACATGATTTCAAGAGAAGCTCAGTTTTAATTTAAAAAAATAAGTAAAATACAATTATTTCAGGCCTAGAGCTCACAGAAGCAAGTTTGAGAGTATTAAAATATACAACCATATACAGAAAGTATGCAGAGCCAACCACCCCCTTGAATTTTACACGTATCTAACACACAAGAAAAAAGAAGGCTTAATCCATGATTTTAAATTGTGATATCACAATGTGTTCTCATCTCCCCGTGAAGGTGCTCTGTGCTGAAAACAAATTCTTTATTGGAGTTATAAACACCGGGCTGAAGATGCCACTGCCTCAGTGCCTAAAGCAAGTCCCTGCTGAGAGAACATCACTGACTTCAACACACCATCTTATCTACTCTGTGTAGATAAGTGTGAAGGCACCCAGTAGATGTTCCCTCCACAACCTTTCTTGATAGCTACTTCATTTTGTCAGGAACAGAGATTACACAAAGAGTTTTCTTACAAAAACCCCCGAAGGGACACAGCCCTGATAAGAGCCACTCATCAATAAAAATCTAAAGGAGTAATTACTTTTAACTGAACGATTTCTGAGATTAAGGATGCTCTGGTAAATCTGTGTTCGTGTCCAGACACTGTTGACTCGGGACCTCTTTTCCTCGTTTAATGTAATTTATATTTCTATCACACTCATCACTAAACTCTTGATCACCAAAGACAGGCGTGAAATCACTGTTAAAAGGGCACCTCAGATCATCTGTTCTAGAGGGTGCAGCAGGTTTGGTTTTTTTACTTCAACCAGTCGAATCTTTTCACTGCTACCTTGCTTTCCATGTGTCTCCCAGCCCCTTTCCACCAGCAAGATGCTCAAGGGAGATCCATCTCCCCACCCTATTGCATGTTTTGTGGTCCAAGGCTGCATGCAGAGGCAGGCTGGCAAACCAGCCTTGTTGTCTCCCCCAGCCATCAAGGAGCCAGTGCCTCCAGCCAGGGAAGAACAACATAGCAAAGTGAGGAGCTAAAAGTAATCACTCCAACGTCCTCCTCCCCTCCAAGCACAGTCCAGACCCTGATTGTAAACAGAGAACAGCACCTACAGACACAAAACAAGAACTGCCCTTTCTGCAGACATCCCAAATCTTTCCAATGACTTCAGAACAAACCCTGCAAACAGCAGCTCTGAAAACAAAGCCACTTCAGGGCAAGCTGTCCTGAAAAGCTTTTCAAATTGAAGGCTGGGTCTCTCTTTCTCCCAAAACACAGAGGTTGCTCCCTAGCCAGTTTACATCACCCCTAAACAGCACCAACCCCACCCTGCAGAGAGATACAGAAGAACCCAGTCCAGATATGCTGAAGTGCTGAGCTCTGTCGTTCCCAAGGAAAAGGTGCTCAGCACAGCCTTGCAGCAAATGACCTGGTAAGGAGCCCCCTGCGTGGCTGTGCTTGTGTCTCAGGGGTGCCAGATTTTAACAACCAAAGTCCAGGTTTGAAATATTAGACAAGAATTTAGTTACAAACAGGAACAATACCAGATATTGTTGCATGTTGAAGCATTAGGTCAGCTTGTCCCAAAAGACAGAAAACACAGATCTGAAGGCTTAGGGTTTCTCCACCCTGGTGTATTTATTTACACTCTGGAACTAGGGAGAGCCAGAATTTCAGCAGAGCTGTGGCCTAACATAGCTTTGCACTGCAACACCAAAAAGTGCCTTTCCTGGAGCCAGGCTCTTATTCTGCCTGTGAAGAGGAGCTGGAGGAACTGCAGACATAACGTTTTACAGTCTGCAGAGCAAGAAGCAGGTATTACTCAGCAGTAATTCTCTACGTTTAGCTAGTCAAGATTGAGGATGGAGCAGACCTAAGAAGAAACACCCAGAGAGATGAGCATGGAGCTAAACAAGAGCCAAATTACATATGTGCGTCAGCACTTCAAGCCAAGCATCTCCGTCCAGAAGCAGAAGATAATGGGGGGACGCTGCCAAGCCTTCTGCTTGGCACACTCCTGGGTTTGCATTTTGCCCAAATCTGTTCTTGCTTTCGAGCCCGTTTAGCTGCTCAGGGCAGGGACTGCTTCCCACTTTGGATGAATAGGGTGCCCACTGCGCACATAATCCCAGCACGTTGTGTTTCCAACGCTGCTTGAGACCTCTAGGCTGGCTGGAATGCAGCAAGCCTGGAAAGCTGCACGGAGCATCCTTTTCTGCTATCCCTATACCCAGCAGGGTCCACAGCCCCGGGCAGCACAGCAGCCTTCTGGCATCCCTGCAAAGCTGTCCCAGCCCAGGCGTGGACAGATCGCCCTCTCAGCAGCAGTGACAGGAGCAAACGGGACACTGTGTGTGGCACACACATTCCTGGGGCAAAGGGAAGGAGAGCTCTTCCTCAAAGCCACCATCATAATGCAGCTGTACTGAGAGCACCCCAAGGGCTCCAGCCTGCTTTCCAGGACATGCACACAGGCCTGCCAGAGAGTTCGGCTTTTCCAAGACACACAGCAGTGAGCAGCAAAAGGCTCCACTTCTATTAACTCTACCAGTGCCAGAGAGGAGCCCTGGAAAAGAGCAGTAAGACAGCTTAATTGCTCCTCAGGAGGAAAACACTGCAGAAAACAGAGTTATTCTATTGACTACGATACATCCTCTTCCTGAGCACTTCATAAAGGACGCCAAACTGAAAGGACAAATTACAGGTCTCTGTGCACATAAGAGGGAACATATCTCTGTCTTCCCCTTGCCAGAATCAAAAGGAGAAGTCTCCAGAAAGAGCCAAGAATTTACATTCAAGTTCAACCCAAAGTCACCAGCCAACAGGAACGTGCACCCGGATCCACACAAAGCTGCCTCTGTGACACGACGCTGGCAAACCGGGAAGTGGACCAAGTGCTATAATCATCCTACAGAGTCCCCTGAGCAGCCAGCCCATGACCAGCTCCAACCTGAACCTGGTCTGGCTATGAACCAAAGAATCTTCTCCCAAGCCCGAGTCAAGACTCTGAGGTCACTGTTCCCATTCTTTCCTATCACAAGCTGCCATTTCAAACAATCACCTCTCAAACTTTCATTTAACACCAGAAAGGAGGGATGCGTCCCCAGCACTCTTATTGCAAAAGCTATTGCAGATGCAACTCCTCGGGGATTTGGAAACCTTATTTCCACTTCACAGCCTGATTGTAACTGTTTATTCTCAGGGCAGATAACAGCTTAAGTAATTTGTGTCTCTTTTTTCCTCTCGGCTTTGTGCAAGGACTACATTCTTTCACAGCCTCACTGCAAAAGGAAGTAACTCCATCTTACTTGCAGGAGCAGTAAGGCCTACAGAAAATAAAGCAGCTTACACAAAGCCATGCACCAGAGACAAGGAGCAATAACCCCTCTCTGTGAACAGGCATGGTTTTGAAATGAACGTGCCTCCAAAGGCTTGGGTGCAGATCTCATCTCTTTGTGTTTCCCCAGGCCTGTCCCTCTTGCACATGGCACAGGTCAGGCACTAAGTACCAGCTCACCTCCTCCAGCACCCACTCATCCTAGCAGGTGAAGATATGGGATTTCAGGTAGCTTGCTTGGGCTTTACCTCCTTCTGAAGACAGAAAGAAGTGGAATAAGAACTTTTAAAAACGTGCAACCCCCCTCAAAAAAATTCAAATGGATATTTTCCCTTGGAGCGCCTGCATTTACCAGCAGTCACTGGACCCGTGCAGCCTTCTGTACCCACATACCATTGCACACACCTGGCACCAGTTGCACTTAGGGAATCACCAGCCTCTAGAGACATAGAACCAAGTTAATCTCCTAAAGGTGCAGGAGAACAAGCTACCACCAGCCAAAGCAGACAGACTATACCAAGAAGCAAATTTCATGTGCTTGGCCATCACTCACCTCATTGCTTCTCCCCAGCTTTCCAAAAGTCTAGCACTCTTTGCAGAGCAGGGAGGTTTTTAACCCGTGGTTACATTAGTATTACTGCACAGCATAAACAAAAAATAGGAATTGGCATTGCACGTTTCACTCCAGCTTAGCACATATACCCTGGACCCCGAACATTCTAATCTACATTCGTGGCAGTGCCTTCCCCCCCATTGCTGCCAAAAAAGCCTGGTTTGTACAGGCTTAGCAGTGCCAGTTGCCTCTTTTTTAATGTCCATACTTGGAAGCTGTCACAATAACAGTGTGTCTAAAATTTCCAGAAGGAAACTCCCAAAACGCAGCATGTCCTGCGTATCCACTACTTTTATCACAAACTTCCAGCACACGCATCTTCCCCGCCCTTACAAACGCAGGAAGCGCCTCCGGCAGCCCCGGTGCTGCAGCCCGGGCCAGCAACACTCCGGGATACTCGTTGTGTGTCAACACGGGGGCCAGAAACCAGCCCCCGACACCGGCACTGCCTGCGACCGCCTCACAAACACCTGATTCCGGCACAGTTTCCAGCCTGAGCTCGGCGGTGAAGTTTTGCGCGTGGAGTTCAGGCGGGATTAGCGGCGTTTTCCGCCGGATCTCTTGGAGCAGCGCTGAGAGCCGGGCTCTGCGCTCGGGAGGCGGCTGATTCCCGGGATGGCTCTCGGTCCCTGCCGAGCCCAGCGGCACCGGCTGCAGAGCACCGGGCAGAGCTGCTGCTTCCAGCCTCAGGCCCAGCACCAGAATCATTAAGGTTGAAAAAGACCTGTAAGATCATCGAGACCAACCCATTCACCAAACACTGTCAGCCCCGCCACCAAACCGCGACCCTCAGCGCCACATCCACGTCTGCCTCCAAGGGGACGGTGTCACCACCAGCTCCCCGGGCAGCTCCTTCCCTGCCTCAGCTTGAGGCCGTTCCCTCTCGTTCTACCTCTCGTCACCCGGGAGAAAAGACCGACGCCCACCTGCCCACACCCTCCTCCCAGGCAGGGAGCGACAAGGTCCCCCCTGAGCCCCCTTTCCCCCGGCTGAGCCCCCCCTGCTCGCCGGGGAATGTCCATCCCGGTGGCACCGCGGGGAAGGTGAAGGAGAAGCGGAGCCGCCCCGCAGAGCCCCGCACACGATGCCCCGTGTCCCGCCGGAGCCGAGCCCTACCTGGCACCGGGCAGAGCGCAGGGACGGGGAGGGGGGGGGGGACACCGCGCTGCGCCTCATAACCGGGGCTGGCCCGGCCCCGGGGCGGCGCCGCCTCACCGCGCCCCGCCCGGCCCCGCAGGCACCGAGCGGCCGCGGCCCCGCGCTCACCTCCCGCCGGGGAGCCTTCGCCTCCCTCCTCCTCCTCTTCCTCCTCCTCCTCCCGCTCCTGCTCCGCCCGTCCCGGTCCCGGCGCCGCCGCCTCTCGCGAGACGCCGGCGCGGGGGCTCCCCGCGGGGCCGCGCAGGCGCCGCTCCGCCCGCCGGGGGCGGCCCCGGCCCCGCTCCCGGCCCCGCTCCCGGCACGGGGATGGGGGACACGGAGGGAGCGGGACACCCGGGGACGCCCCTCGGGGCCCCCCGCGCTGGGGAGGCGCTGCCGGACCCTCTGCGAGCGCCGCCGCACGGGGAAAAAATAAATAAATAAATAAATCAAAGTGTTTTCTTGTGCTTTCTCAGCACGAGGAGAGGGTCCGACAAAAGGGGTGAGGCGTCTTGGAGCATCTCTCTGGAAGCTGGGTTTGTTCAGCCTTCTGGTCCTTCGAGTGCTTGCGGGGACGTGTAGTTCCGGGCTTGGCTCAGGAACTGCTGGCACAGGTTTATCTTATACACACTCTGCTTATTTTATCTGTGTGCTCTTTTTTTCTTTATATCTTTGTTTATCCAGAAGAATCAGCCCTGGGAACAAGTGTTCCTGACCTAGTTCACCATCACACTTCTGCTTACTGTTTCATAAGGAAAATGGGCTGCTTGCTGGACCTGTTTACACACCTGCATTGCATCCCCACCTCAGGGATTTAAGACATTAATAAATGCAAGTAATTAAGCTTCCTCATCCCTGGACTGAACTATCCCTCATCTTCCCCACAGCAAAGCAAGGCTCATGGAGGAAGAGGGAGCCTGCACAATGTCGCCCGGTCAGAAAGAGCATGTAGGAGAATTCTTTGCAAGTGCTACAGCTGTAAAAAAAGGCTCTTCCTCCATTTCAAAAAAACCACAAACCTACCTGAGATTGTCACCTTCGATACTTACAGGAGGGAAGACACTCCTGTATGGAGCACAGAGTCACCATTCAGTGCAATGACCAGAACCATTTTATTTGCATTACATTTAATAAGCCCCTTATGGAACAGGCTGCTGCCTGGAGACTTTTGTCCCAAAAAGAAAACCACATTCCCACAGTTTACCTCCAGGCTAGTAGCTGTCATCAGGGTCTTCACTTATCACCACACTGCCTCTCTGGCTGCAGCCAGGTCTGAAATGCTCTGCAGATACACGAGAGCTTAGAGCAATCTCACAGCCAAACATCTGCTCACCCAAACAGCATTCCAGGCGTGCATCACACCTCCCAGCTTCACAGCAACATGCAGGGACAGCAGGGAAGAATGGGGAAACTATTCCTCAGGCATTTATGTTTGTTTTTAATAGTCAGGGAGCCTTTGGGATGCAGGAGTGGCATCCATACCTTTGCTCTGGGAAAAAAAGGCAGGTTGGTCTCAATGCTGATATCTTCTGGGAGGCGAACAGTGCTGGGAAAATGAGGTTTTCCTCTTGAACTCTCTTAACACCCTGCTTGTCTTAAACTCAAGCTAACAGCTAGAGCACACAGTACAGAGCATAGACTTGAAGTAGGGATAGAGAAAAAGTATTCTACAGCATATAAGGTCCTTCTCCTCCCTGCTCACCTCCCCTCTGCTTTTCAGCATCATGACACAGAAGCCAAAATACATTTTAAGGCACATTTCTCCTGCATCCACTTCCTTGACTTCCAGCAGTCTTGAAATTGCAATCCCTTGGGGCCACAAAGAGTTCCTGCTCCCTGGGTGACTTGTATTTAGTCTTGGGCTGGCTCCCCAGGCGGGCAACTGGCTGCAGCTTTTGCCGCCTGCTGGCACCATCTGCAGGCCCTGCAAGCGAGGGAAGATGAAGAACTTAGTCAAGTTTCTCATACTTTAATTTGAGTCTCATTTCCAGTTGGAATGGGGAAGAGACAGATTGCCACAGGCTGTGGAGGGGCGAGTTTGGCAAAGGCACTGGGATCTGCATGTTGCTGCCTGAAGAAGATCCCAAGGTGACACCTTGGAAGCAGTTATGTTGACGTGTGGCTAGCTGATATTAAAATTTTGTCCTTTACATATGGATTAGACTGGGATTATGAGCACCTCTGAAAATGTTATTTCCTCTTCCTAGGAGGTTATTTTTGGCTAAGAGGGAGATGTTCCTTCTGGAACATTGCCCGTGTCATCTGTTGCAAAGAAAAAAGGCTTAAAACTTGGCCGCAAAACCTCTGCTCATGTGACTGCTTTCCCAACTGGACCATTTGTGTTGCATTTACAGCTCTTTTGGTTCAGATTGCAACAGAACAAGTGCTGAAGAGTATCACAGTGCCTCCTGAGCCAGCCAACCTGGTATTTCATGCACTCACCCTTGACTTGTTTCTGGAGGTCTTGTCCTTTGACATGATCAGCATTGCTGTGCTGGGTGGCACTTGCAGGAGAGTTGCCTGTTGGCAGCACCTCAAGTGAAGTCCCCTCTGTCAAAGGCAGGGAGAGCTTTGTTATAAACAGTGCGAGCAGAGCAGAGTTTAAAAGCATTTTGCAATGTGTGAGTTGCTAATAGCTAGCCAAAATAAATTATAGCATTGTAAATCAAAAGTTAACCATTTTTTAGTAAAAAAAGTTAGAAAAACTAAGGAGGATCAGTTACACACCTTGCCAGAATGGGGAAGGATTCTGGCAATATTTCAATAGGATTTGGGTGTCCAGTTCTCCTAAACTCATCCTGGCCTTGTGTACCTGCACAAGGCAAAACAACTGAAGCTAACAGATGGTCAGCGCAGCTTGTCATGTCTTGGTATCCTTGCTGAGGTTTGGATGTGAAACACAGACTAAACTGAGATCAATCACTTGTTGCACATAAACGCAACTGAACATTAATTCTTCCCCATAGGTTACAGAGGCAAAGCTGAGGCAGTGGCCTACAAAGGATGTGCTTTCTTACCCATCAAAAATCTACTTAGACCATATAAAAAGCAATCAGATCAGCTTACTAATCGTTCTGATCATTAGCATTTACTTTGGCTTATTTCTCACATGACAATCCATCTTCAACAGAGCTGGTGCAGGATGTCACCATCTGTCAGAGCTCATGTCAGGCACAGACAAATCTCTCTGGCCCCTACCTGACTGGTGGCTGGCAGGAACCCTGACCTTTGTGGAAATGGATACGCTTCTCGCAGCTTTTGACTGATGGAAGAGGCTGGCTCGGCGCAGATGGTTCTCACAACCTGTGTCTGTGTTGGGGCTTGAGGGAGTCCAGGGCTTAGCATTTGAGACCTGAAAGACACCAAGTGGAGTTAACCTCCGTGGTGATGTCTCTGACCTCTGACTGTTGCCACATTGTACCAAAAAGATTCCTTTCCCACCTGACCGGCTTAGCTTGCTCTTTAGGCACAAGGTCAAGGGTAAAGATATTTAGAAGAAGGATAAAGATATTTAACTTATTTGCCCATGCAGTTTGTACTACATTTCTCTTCCTGTGTTTAAAAACCACCCTATCTTCACTGGGTCTATGCCTTCTGCTCAACCCATCCCCTTCAGAAAGAAACACAAAGGGAGTTTGTGTTCCTACCCTGTGGAAGTTCGGTTCAAGAGAGCGAGATCTTTTCTTTCTGGCTGTCCTCCCAGCAGACACCTCCTGGTCTCTCCTGCTCCTCAGCTCTCCCCTGGCTGGGGAGCACAGCTGGCTCCCAGCTGTGGGCTCCAACAGCAACCCTCCAATACATGCCCTGTCTCTTGTCTGACAGTCTGGGGTAGAACTGGCCTTTGGATACTTCAGCTCAAGCACATCCTCCCCAGAGGTGTGGACTGGGGTGGCTTTGCTCCCAGGGTCTCTGTGCTGGGCTCTGGAGCGGCGACTGGCTGCAATGAGGGAGATGCATTTGGTGCTGGTGGCAATTTCCTCCAAGGTCTCTGGACTCAGTAGAACAGCAGCAATGTCTGCAGGTGACTTTTTCCCATGGAAGCCTAGAGAGGTGGGGGAGTGCAGCCTGGGAGTCG